GAGTTGAATCCAGCCTAAGTCTAACAGACTCACCAGCAGAAATCTAGTCATAGGCCATATACACACCGGAAAGTTTTAGGAATGATAACAGCATTTAAATCTAAATCACTCTTCTGTGTGTGAACGGAATACAGGATTCACACCTGCAAACTGGTTGATGATTGATACAGTGGTAACCAACCACGGCAACAGGTTGTTCTTTCATGGGAGCAACAATTCCTGACTTCTTTTGACCAAAGTATTATTAGTAACTGGAGACATTATAATCCAGTAATTTTTGTTTATTAGTAGCCATACTTTGTTTATGCCGGTCTCTGCATCATGTTAGAAACAAGACTGACAATATTCTGCTGCTGTGTGTACATGACAGGATCACATTTATGCATTTGTTAGACATGTTTATCTCAAAGTGACTTCTTAGGTGTCATTTTTTTTCATCAGTTCTTGCATTCCCTGGGAATCGAACCCATAACTCTGGCATATGCTCTACTGTTTGACCATTTGAGCAACACGAATCAGGCACAAACAGTGTGGATGTAGGCTAACTGGAAGCTGCTTTCATGGCTAGAAACAGCTACAGGATGCCAAGTGTAAGATACCATGACATATGACACACTAGCAACTGTTTTCTCTCATAAATGCTAATAGGCAGGAGAAAACAACACTGAGACCTGAATCCACACCCTCGAGAAAACTGCACTCTGACCTGAAAGACACCAGCTCACCTGTTGCAGAGCTCATGTCTTTACATTGTTGTTCTTATTTGATGAAACGAGCTCACTTCAAGCACGAAACAGAATTCCCCAAAACAATCCCATAAATTATGCTCACAGAAAACAATCTCCTAAACTAATGAGGAATCTCTGAACTTTCTTGACTTGTATTGTCAGCATGTCGCTCTGACACGAGTGTGTGAGTTAATTGCCTCAGCCTCCAGTAACCGCTAGTGGTAAATGCCTATGAGCTGTTGCATTTACATATCCCCTCATTTAGAGACTCTGCTAATTAGCATTCTCATTATGCCAATTATACTAGTTTTAATTATTATAGCACCGCCACTAAAAAAAAAAAATTATATATGAATCGCAAACCAAATAGCCTACAGAGAAATTCCACAAGGTGCTGTTCCGAGGATGCGGTGATGGGAGTACCAGCACAGCTTGTCAAGAGCGGAACACTCTCATTATGACAATCAGATTAATTGTTTAATTGATATCCGAGCATTTGTTTCATTAGCGGGTCGCTATTCCCGTTCATCAGTGTGCCGTTCTCCGGAAGCGGAAGGACCGCGGCTGCGGCCGAGTCTTCGAAGAGGATGGACGGGAAGCTCGAGGCCTGAATCCTGGGGAGTGTCTGGTGGACGCCCACGTCGCTGATGTATGGGCAGATGCATCAAATCACACAGGATAAACAAGCGATGAATTTCATCAGTGCCATCATAGCCTTAATTTGGCTGCCTAATGAGTCAGAGCTAGTGGCGGAGATAAAAGTTGTCAGAGGCGCGGCTCTAATGAATTTCTTGCCACTTGTAATCAAGGTTGGCTGTCTGAGGGGCCATGATTAATGGAACCCTGGAGGATTCCCTCGGCCTTCAGCTCTCATTACAGCTAATGCATTCTCAGGCAAATTAGCGCACTGAGAAGAGCGAGCGAGAGACGCGGAGAATCCAAACAAGGACTGGAGAGAAAGAACAAGTGATAAACGCAAGATTGAGAGAATGCAAGGAAAGAAAACATAAAATGACAATTAAACCGCTTATGAAAGCAAAATTGACTTTTTTGGGGGGCTTTTAGTCCATGTCTGGTAGCTTTGAGCTGAGCATCTATATGCTAATGTAAACAAAACGATAGCTTTCAGCGCAAATATGCATTTAAAATCTTCCAGGAAAAATACAGATGGCATCACTTTGGTTTATGTCACAACCACTCAGGCGGTAGTAGCTACTGAACTTCCGGTTCCATCGTCCTTAAGTCAAGTTTTTTTTTTTTTTAATTGGTGTTTGGTAATGCGCTGGTAATCTGTGGGTAGGCTAACACAGGCTTTTATTCTAAGACATAAAATACATACATAAATACCCCACTCAAATACAAGTGGCTAAATGGTACTACAAAGGTAGCGCACAGGTAAACTCATCTAGGCTACTCATAGTCTGCTTCTACAGCTTTACAGTTGCAAACTATTCTAGCTCAAATGCTTTTTACATTTTTTTAAAATAAATGTAGTTGTGGTGTTGACTTGATTGTTTAAAGCCTAACCTTAGCTTTATTTTGGCAATGGCATTTAGGCTTTAAAATTCATAAAAGTTGGTTTCATTTATGAAAATTATCATGATGAACTAAATGTGTAAGAATCATAAACTTTTGTTGGTCTCAGACCTTATTTTCTGTAATAATCCAAAGACCAATGGAAAAAATCTTTTTTTGTGATGCTGGATACTCGATACAATTAATGCTATTCATATTTTGGTCTGGTTTCCAGTAAGGAATGCTAGTGTACTTCTATAATCTGACAAAATATCTACACAATATGCGCACAAAAATGCGATTTAAAAGCTAACTAGTCTGCTTTTATGACTAGACTAACTATTGATGACCTCAAAGCTATAATCATGAAAATATTTTAAAAAATGATAAATGGTTTCCATGATCATGTTTAGAAAGAGTTGAGAAAACACACAATAAAGGCTGTAAAGACATTTTGGCAGTCACACATTTACATAATCTTATGATCAAGGAATGAATGACAACATTTCTCAGCATTCATGGTATAAATCATTTTATTGGAGTGTTTATTATGTCAATAGCCAGCCAAGCATCCAATCACACAACAGCTAACTCTCATGAAAGCGCTCCATCATGTTCAGAAGGAGCATTTCAAAACAATGGCAAATTAAAAGAAACGACAGAACGTTATCAAACAGCTCAATAAAAGCAACAACAAAAGGAATTATTTACATCTTGCTTTTATAAATATGTCAAATGTACATATAATACACAAAGTACCTTAACGGCCAGACAATGTGGACACATTGAGACCCAAAACCAGGTACCAAAAACATCTTTAAAACAAAACGGTGCTTCTATCTGCTATACGGCTACTTGAGGAGCTTTATGGGTGCATCCCAGCGTTCAATAACCCAGCAGTCGCA